ACATCTCCGCCACCGTCGCAGGACAGGTTAGTTATTAGTCAGTTAAACGGTCTTCTTCTGACTCAGTGCAGGTATGGGTTGGACGAATGGCGTTAAAGAGAAGCAACCGGCAGTGCGTCAGGTAGATGCTAGGGATTACCCCTAATCCACAAATCCCACCTTTCACCTCGACTAATCTTAGCCCTCGGCGGCAGCCCAGTCAGCCGGATGACTCACAATCCCCACATCTTCTTTGAGGTTCATCTGGGACGTCAGTAAAATCGACATCTCCACTCCTCACTAATTCCCGCGAGCCAAAGTTCAGCTTCACGAGGCGATAATGTTCTTCGACGTGACACTGCTCCTTGCATCCATCTCACCGCATATGGTGTGCAAGGCTATGCGCTGCGTCCTGCATGGAAGTATGGCAAATCACGGGCATGTCTTTACTGATATTGTCATCATATTTAAGTAGTATTAAAGGCCGATGCGTCCCGTCATTCTGAGTAAATTGCACACATATATCTACATTTATGCTGCACCAGGTAATGCAGTGACATATGTGTCGATGGTTTGCAATTTACAACATCTAACTACATTTCTTCTCTTTGAATCATTGTAGAAATTGCATGTTTATGCTCAATCGCATTATTGGACGCAGAGGACTGCTTGTCGGTGGTCGACTACTACGTCCTTTCGTCGGCAGTTTCAGCTACGTCTCATCTCCTCCCTCCTCTGTAATTGGCCTCAGGGATCCCGACATAAACCACATGTTTGGTGCCTACGAGGATGTTCTTTCCATCCAGATCCACTATCTTCGTCAGGGCCTAGGAGCCAACAATATCCTCTTATTTCCCGGTCCGTTCGGCACCATCAGGACTGATTACATGGACTTCCTACAGCGTCTAAACATAAACGAGTACGTTCCCTGGGGCTGCTTGGCACTGTGTGTTTTGACCAACTGGTGTGGATATAGACGGAGATAGGTGTAGAAAGTTGCACTAGGATACATCATATAGAAGTGGCCCAGTAGCCGACGACTACACTATGTACGCTGTTGGTACACCCTCAAGATTGGATAGACCAGTTTGGTAAGCGTGAATATTCGTATACAACAGTCATTGTGATGTCTGCAATACAGGACGCTGTGATG